TTTTTTTTGTTGTGCTTATTAATTGAAATGTACCTATCAGAGGACTATACTGCTCGTCCTTACCGCGGAGATTGTGCTGCTTGCTATCATTGCTGCCATCACTCTCGTCTGCTTTCACACGCACAACGCAAGGTCCATGTTCGTGGGGATTGTCTGCATCGTTTTTGGGAGCCTCATGTACTTTTCCCCTTTATCCATCATGGTAAGTATTCACTCATTGTTATTGATATATATATATATATCATATATATGTGTTTATACTAATCAGTCATTGCATTCTTTTTGTTTTGGGCTAATTCGATTGATTGGACTCTTAACAGTGGACAGTTTGGAAAACAAAAAGTGCTGAGTTCTTGCCGTTTTGGCTCTGTCTTGCTGGTTTCCTCAACGGCGTGTGCTGGTTCTCTTATGCCTTCCTCAAGAAATTCGACCCGTATCTCGCTGTAAGTTCATTCTTTTTACTAGTTTCTGTGCATTAATCTATCCCATTTTATTAGTTATTTTTTTTCTTTGGTTGGTGTAGATTACAAATGGGCTTGGGGGGATCTTTGGTTTATTCCAGATTCTTGTCTATACTTACTACACTTTAAAAGGAAAGAGTTCCAAAGTTGAGTAGGAGATGGTGCTAAGACAAGTGATGAGCAGCTCCAGAAAAACTACATGGCATCACCAGTTCGATCTTGATCCCTTTCCATAGACTTCATTTTGCTATGGAATTTGCTATTTCCAAGAGATCAGCATATAGTAGTTTAGTAGTAATCAGTAAATAAAATTGTTTCTCTTTTTTTTTTTTAACTTGATTAGGTATATGCTGAATTTTGGGACCTATTTTCTTTATGAAAGTTTAATGAAATTGTCTATGAAGTTTCATTTACGTGTTTCAATTTTTCGGTTTACTGTTACTGTATTGGATTTGGAAGTGTTTGCATTATCAAGAGCCGTTTCAATGAGCACACATTTATTTCACGTTTTCTGCATTTTGACTTTGACAGCTAACAATTTGTTTTACTTATTATTAAATTT